CCTCCTTCTCTACCTTCCTCCCTTTCCTCTTTCCCTCCCTTCCTTTCTCCCTCCCCTTTCCTTCCCTTCCCTTCTTCCTCCTTCCCTCCTGTTCCTCCTTCCCTTCCTTTCTTTCCCTTCTTCCTTCCTTCCTTTTCTGTCCTTCCTCCCTCCCTCTTTACTTCCTTCCTCCTTCTCTTCCTTCCTCCCTTTCCTCTTTCCCTCCCTCCCTCCCTTCCTTTCTCCCTCCCCTCCTTTCTTTCCTTCCCTTCTTCCTTCCTTCCTCCCTTTCCTCCCTCCCTTCCTTTCTTCCTCCCCTCCCCTCCTTTCTTTCCTTCCCTTCTCTTCCTTTCTTCCTCCCTTTCCTCCCTCCCTCCCTTTCCTCCCTCCCTCCCTTCCTTTCTCCCTCCCCTCCTTCCTTTCCTTTCCTTCCTTTTTTCCTTCCTCCCGTTCCTCCCTCCCTCCCTTTCCCCCCCATCTCTGCAGGCAGAATTGCCCCTCCTGGCACAGGACCTGGCGATGGACTCTCTCAGGGCCTTCTATGCATAGGCTCCGGGCGCTGCCAACTGGCTGTGCAGACGGCTGATTGGCTAGAAGGTGACCAATCACCCCCAGTGCCCCAGCCAGCCCGCTCGCTTGGCTAAAACCTGCCCATCCCCCCCTTGAGGATTTCCGATGCGGGACCCCGCAGAGATCACCCCGAGTTGGGAATCTCAGCAGAGGCGGGACCTCCAGTGTGAGGAGCATCCTCAGAGCAAATCCATTCCCTCCGAAGACGTAAAGAAGGGAGACCACCGTTTCGAAAAGGACATGACAAATAACCTTTTACTCACTGGGTAGCCCTCGGTTTTCTTCTGACACCATTTCAAGAGCGCGTTCCGCTTTGAGCCGCCATATTCCCTGGCCAGCGCAGCCAGTGGATCCTTCCTCTCCACACTAAAAGCCAGAAGAAGAACAGAATGGCAGAGTTGGGAGGGACCTCGGAGGTCATCTAGTCCAGAGGTCCCCAACTTTTTGGGCACCAGGGACCGGTTCCGTGGAGGGAGGCTTTTCCGCAGACTGGAGTGTGCATGGTTGTGTGTGCTGCCTGCATCCCGTGGATGGGGCTTTGCTTGTTTGTGTGGACCGGTTGCTGGCGTGCCGTGACCCGGTACCGGTCCACGAACCGGGGGTTGGGGACCCCTGTTCTAGTCCAACCCCCTGCTCAAGCATCTGTACCAATCCAGACAAGTGACTGTCTAATCTCTTCGTGAAGACCTCCAGTCATGGAGCATTTACAACTTCTGGAGGCAAGGAGTTCCACTGGTTAATTGTCCTCACTGTTAGGAAGTTTCTCCTTAATTCCAGGTTGCTTCTCTCCTTATCAGTTTCCAACCATTGTTTCTCGTCCTGCCTTCAGGTGCGACCCCCTCTTCTTTCTGGCAGCCCCTCAAATACTGGAATTCTGTTATCCTGTCTCCCCTATTTCTTCTTTTCTTTAGTCTAGCCCAGGGATAGGTAGCCTTGGCTCTTTTATGACTCATGGACTCCAACTCCCAGAATTCCTGAGCCAGCATGGGGGAACT